ACTGCTTTCTTCCTCTCTAGATTTTACTCGCAAAGCTAAAGAATGCTTCGCCAACTTCGATCGCGTTTTTGACGAAACGAAAACCTTAGCTTCAGTCTCTTAATGGGCTTTGGATGGGAAATTTTCTAAACTTTTCAAATTAAGTCAACATCTTCTTACTAAAGTCCAATACAGATTTCATCTCAAGAAATTGATTCAAAGACGCTAATGATCAGGTACATTCTACCGCTTTTCAAAACCTTCATATCCTCAAAAAAATACTAATCGAGCCGAGCGACCCTTCAAAAGATAGTTTCCAGCATTTTCAACTCTAAATCCTATTTAAACCCTTCAAATGAAGTTTCCATAGCTTGAATCCTTCACTCAAAGAACAAACCTGTACGGTGCATTGAATGTCATTCAATAAACAACTGGTCTAGACGATATACGTAAATAAAATGAATCTAACTCCACAAACATTCATTATCCTGGTTATTTTGAGTCTACTAGATATTCTCATCAGTGGCTGATAGGGCTAAAGGTCATTCTCAAGTTGGAAGAAGTAATTACAAGCCTCCAGCCACTTATAAATTCTGCCTAGTAGCCATAGTCATGGAACATATATCTTAAACTCCACTCAATGAACACTTTCGTCAGAGTAAAACTCAACAGATCTTCTAATAAAGTTGATTACATAACGTGAAAAAAAGAAACACACAGTAATTGAAGGACTTTGACAGCTTTGAAAAGTTTATGGTGCTCCGACATTTCTTGATGACTTCATTACTTAGAACCTAGTTTACTCAAAATTCTGGAAAGGTTTATCCCTGTATTGCCTTTGACATTAGGAAGAGATTTTTCTCGTCAATGCCTTAAAATCATGTTCATTCATTTCATAATTGTTTTTCACAAGATCTTAAGGCACCTTTCACTTCAGAAGAATGCGAGTTACAAGATTAATTTTGAAAAATATTTGTATGGCAGTCTCAGGTCAGTACCTTTGAAAAAAGATTTTCAAACTGCTTTTGCTATCATCTCACAACAATACTATCAAACCACGGCCTAAATGTTGTATAGGAACTCTCTGACAACTCTGAAAGCTGTTGGATTGAAAGTAACCGCAAAAACCTTTATGTCTGTTGTGAAGTTTAAGCACAAAATCTTAACTCGACCCAATTCGCCGCTCTAAAAGTCTATAAACGTTAATATGTTTACTCTTATAACCGAAGAACAATTTGTGTTGTGTGCGTTTGCGGCCACATCAAATTTGATGTGCTTTGGCTCGACTTAATTGATGAGGACTATTCTTAATTATTGAAATGGCTTTCATCCTTTAAATTAACTTTTGTGTTTTCGTACAATCATCCCGCTATTATATATATACTCGTTTGCTCATTGAGCTGTTCTGTTCATCCGGATGTCATCGTGGTAGCTGTAAACAAAGCGAAGTGTAGCATAGCATCACGTCAACAATCTGTAGGAATCTCGTGAGCGAACCTGATATTTACAACTAGCGTAAGCTTCACTTCATGTCGTGTTCATATTCAATGAGTCTTATGGGGTAGTTTATTTAATCGCTCTATCCAGTAGGTCTTGATTGTTGATTTAACATCGATTACTTTTCTTTTAGACTTTTGGAGTAAGTCAACGGATCCTTCTAACAGTTATCTTCTTTAATCTATTCTAGAAATATCTCTTAATTACTGTCCTAAAATTTTAGTAACAGATTTTCGGTCAAGTGCCTGATTAGTTGAAGATGACATTTCGTTGACAGACAGTCTAAGCAAACCTTTCACGACACGTATGAGAACGGCTAATCGATCAAGTACATTGTTTGGCTGTTGATAAAGGCATGAAATCGCACAGTTCTCATCTATCATTCTGCGAAATCAATACCATAGTTAACCACATTGCTATTAGATTGTCAATTACTCCCCCACTAGCGCCATGCAAATGAGTTCTTGTTTAAGTCAAAGCAAATTCACCCTTGTATCACAGCAAATATTGCTAGAGTTGAATCAGTCGTGTTTACTTATTAAATTCCTTGAAAACTATTTCCTAATGTTTGCTCGGCTTTTGTTCTCACTTCTCACATTTGCAGATCTTAAAATTTTCGATGAGTCAGGTGGTGTAGAGCTTTTGAAGCACTCCGAAAGTCACTTCACAAGGTCGCTTTCGACCATGCTTCTCGGTAAGCTGATCCACTATTGAGTTGCTTTTATATTGGAATCGTAAGCTTTATTTTTACTATCTATTATTCGCTACTAGTTTTTTGGAAAAGTTGGATTTTTTTTATTCACAAATTCTGACGATTTTACTGGAAAATTGAAGTTCAGATAGTTCAAACGATCAAGTGCGCGTGCCAAATGTGATAGCTTTGGTTGGTCTTCCCGCAAGGGGTAAGACTTACATTTCGCACAAGCTGTGCCGCTATTTGAATTGGATCGGTATAAAAACTAGAGGTGAGTATTTCGAATCAAAACATCTGCTACAATTTCTGTACATAAGATTGGAATCCCAATCTTGTATCATTTCCCTTTGTAAGAAAAAAGATAAGGGTAATAATAAGAGATAAGGTTGTGACGTACCGAGAAGTATTGCATTTGCTACTTTCCATTTTCTTATTTCTAAGTCATAAAAAATTTGATGAAGTACCTTCATTTACTCACTTTCCTTCACTGTAAAAAATTAATGTGTGGAATCTTCTCAAAGAAAATGCTAAAAACTATTAGTACTGGTTTATTCGAATTGTTCTAAGGTTTGCCGTCTTTAAAGCTATTTTCAGCGTTCAACGTAGGCGAATATCGTCGAAAGGCATGCAAGGATGGGGAATTCGATTTTTTCAGTCCTTACAATGTGAAGGGGACTAAGATTAGGGAGTATGTTGCATTTTATGGGTCATCCTTGTATTGGGGTTATCCTTTTTTGCTTTTTTGACAATCGTGTCTTTACACTTTTACTTTCCTTTCTTTTTCATGGCTAAGTATTCAAACCATATAGTATTCATGTTTACTTATTTTTAAGTGAATGTGCTCGTTTGGCTATCGAGGACATGGGAAGGTATCTGGAAGCCAAGGATGGAGAAGTTGCGGTAAGTAATTCGAAAAGATTTTTTGAGCAGATAGTGCTATCTTTTTAGATATTGGATGCCACTCAACACAACTAGAGCTAGGCGACGTATGCTTATGGACTTCTGCAAGCGTTCTGGTCTAGCTCCGGCTTTCCGAGTATTTTT